GTCATGAGGGATCCCAGAAGGATGGAGGCAATGACAAAGATGATTGCCACAGCTGAGCCGAGGAGAGCTCCTGTCAGCGAGACGATGCTGGCGTACTGGTCAAAGAAGATGTAGAAGAGACTGTAAGGGAAAACCTCAACACCTGTCGACTTTGTAATGTCGGATGCGATTCTTCGGGCTGCCGACATGGCGTTGATGAAGTCGTCCTGGCTGCGCAACGGGGTATGCATCGTCCTGAAATGACTGGCGGGGATAGTATCCTTCTCTGAGTCGACCACCACTGCATTACCATATGATGCTTGGCCACCGAGCGGGCAGTCGTCGTTGGTGGGCGCCTTGAGGAACTTTTCGAGGTAGTGGACAAACTCGCCGTCCTGGGGCATGCCCGAAAGGGTGATGTTCCATGGCGGGTTGCGATCAGCGAAGCATGCCTTGCCGTTCTCGACACAGCACGAATCGCCGAGGTCAGGGTTAAGCCACAAGAAGAAGTCATCAATCCAGCTGGCAGCGGGCGACGAGATGTATGAGACGTCCGGTCTCTTTCGCTCACCCTCCAGGATATTGGAGAGGGAGAATTGGTCGCAGGTGGTGAATCTTGCGCAGATCTCGCGTTGGTTCTTGCGCGCAGTCGCGTTGAACTCACGGGTGACAAAGTAGACAGGAGGACCAGTCTCCATGTATTTGTAAAGATCGTTGAAATAGGGAATCAGATAGGAGCCGTCGGGGATGGCAACGCGCTGGTCCAGGCCAAGTTGCACCTCGGGAATAAGTGCAATTCCAGCGGCAAAGAGACCCAAGAAGACGGCAATAATGATAGCCTTGGCCTGCTTTGCGAGGATGGCCGGTGCGTACGTACGGCGGATGAACTGCTGCAGCCAGCTCTCTTCCGGGACTTCGTAGAATCGCGCGTTGGCATTGCCGTTTCCGCCGCTCAGGTGAACACGAGCTGCCTTAACCTGCAGACAGGGGATGCAGTCTGCTCTGTGATCTTCCACACGAATTTGGTTCATAGCCAGAACTGAAATGAAGAGCGTGATCTGAAGAATGGCGTTGATAAAGACAGCGCCAGCGGCGTAGGCGGCAAAGTTGCGCACCGCGGGCATACCCACGAACGTTCCGAGAGCAAAAGCGACAACTTCGGTCATAGCTGAGAGAAGAATCGACGGACCCATTCGTCCCAGGGCCTTGGCGATACGCTCCTCGACCATCTCGTCAGGGTGGCTCACATTGACGCGCTCAAACTCGTGAACGATGAGGAAAATATTGTCAACACCGACGGCAAGAACGATGAAGGGAATGACCTCGGCAATAATGAGCGTCGCCTTGAGTCCGAACCAGGAGAAAAGACCGATCGAGGCGCTGATGGACATGAGGACAATCAGGATGCCAACAACGCCGAGGGAGAACTTGGACTGGACCAGAGCGACAGCTGGGTTCCTGATCATATCCCGGAATGACAGCGTAGTAGATCCGAGGGCAAGAGACGCGTAGAGGAACATGATGATGTAGCTGATGACCACGATCTTGGCATCGGTATTGGTGGACTTGTTCAACTCCTGCTCCAAGCTGATCTCGGTAGAGAAGGAGAGTCGAAGTCCTCGGTCCGAAGCCTCTTGCTGGACCTCGAGAAGGCGATCGCGAAGCGCAACCTCCCAGTCCATGGCACGCTCAACAGCTGGACTACCTTCAGCTGCATTTTGGACGACCCAGGTGACAGTCATGGCATGAGCAGCAGCGGGATCGTCCTCGTAACCGCCTAAAATCATGTTCGGCTCGAGAGGAAGGCCGAAATCAGGACGGCACTCAACGGGGGACTTTGCGCACTGTCGCAGTTGATCCTCCCAGTCGTTCTTCCCAACAAGGGAAGGCTCGTCGCCAAAGTAGGTCGCCACGGACTGGACAACGCAGGAGGTGCCGGTAGGCTTCAAGCAGATGTCATTGAGGGTCGCACCGAACTTAGGGCCCTTCAGCTGCTTGACGCTCTTCTCGACACCCATCCACCAGATCAGCGTATCATAGCTGAGAACAGGGGCTGGACCGCTGGAATGCTGGTCATTGACCAAAAAGACCTTCTCGGCGCGGTAGAACGGACCAAACTGCTCGTCAAAGAAAGCCTTCTCCTGAGCAGCAGGAGACGTGGGGCTAACCCAGAGGCGCGCGGGGTCTTTCTCGAGGTCAAACCTGACCCAACCGGCGCTGAGAATGACGACGACGATGAGCGTAACACCAATCGTGATTCCTTGGTAGCGCGCTGCTGCGTGGCCGAGCTTGCTGAAGGCCGCGTCGCACCAAGTGTTGATCTTGTAGTATCTCTGAGGTCTGTCAAACATGGCGCCATTCTGAACCAGGTCGCCTTCATCCTCATCGTCGCTGGGAGACGCATCTTGCAGGAGTCGGAGGCGCTCACTCTCTCTCTTGGCACGGCGTCTCCACACAACGTGACCGACAACGGCTGCGATGGCAGCGAACAAGAGGACGCTGTAGGTGAAGATGGCCGCAAACGACAGACAGGGCAGGAGACCGACGTGGCATTCGCCAGGCTTCGAGACGGCCGGGAGCTCTGGGCAGACAGCAGGACAGTCGACGCAAGCGCATCGGTAGTTGGGGTCCTCGTCATTGCACTTCTTCGGGGTCATGTCGCGAGGGGCCATGCCCGGCTCAGTGTACTCGGTGGGGAAGTTGATCTGGAAGGGCGATCCAATAACCTTCTCGTCTCCCAAGAACTTGAGCAGCTGGGAGTAGTTCTTTGCGCCACCTCCGATGAAGTCAATGGCCCTAGAGTTGGAGGGACCGAACTTGACTTCCTTGCAGCTGTCAAAGAATCCAGTTCCATATTCCTTTGAGATGAGCTGGTCCAGCTCTGTGACCATAGTCTTCTTGTTCTTCTCCTGGGTCTTTGTGATGTTCAGGAAGAGGGACTGATCGGGAGAGCATGTGAAGGTGCAGAACAGGTTGAAGAAGTTGTCCTTGCAGGCCGGGCAGGAAGAAACGATCTGGTTCGGGGTGCCGAGCTCGGAGGCGAGCGATTTGACCTGTTGAGAAGCACACGTCAGTAAGATGGACAGCAGGGAAGCTTTTGATGCCAATGACTTACCTGCTCAGCATCGCAGCAAACCGGACCGGAATTCCATTTAGCACCACAAAGGTCAACAATCTGCTTTCGCAGGTCTTCATCGGGGTCCGTAGCCAGACCATTGTCGGGGCAGGGCAGTTGCTTGCCAAAGAAACTCTTGGAGCCGCAGTGGCCGCGCATGGCACATCGTCCGGCTTCATGCTTTGGCGTAAATGGCTCTGCTGCGACACTGCTGCTTAGGGAAGCCAGCAGCAGGCCGCCAGCTCCGAGCAGCTTCAACAGCGTCATCGTGGGCTTGGTGTGTGCCGCTCAGCGGCTAGGGTCGGGTTACTGGTGGAGGAGTGTGCTGAAAAAGAGGAATATTGAGGAAAATGCGATGATGATTAAAGATGGAGGGAAGAGACGCCCGTCGCGCAAAAGGACCCAAAAGCAAGGGACGATGGGCGGTTTGATGGCAGATGTCAGGTGTGGAATGAGAGGGACGGATGGAGGTTGGGTGGTTGCAGTGACACACGATACCTACATGAAGGTACCGTCCGGGTGCGCCTGCCTCTGGGGTAAGGTAGGTAGCAAGCTTTCTAGGAGCTCCGGTAAGGTAGGTGCGGTCGGGTGGGCTGCTGCTTGTGTGGCGCACTTGCACTTGCGACTCTTCCGCCCGCGTGTACGGCGTGCCTGCGTCATCCACCTCAAGTTGCACCAGAAACAGCGGCGGCAGCAGGTGTCTCACTGCTGGCACCCACCACGGGCCACTGTGGAACTGCCTGAGGTGCACCTCACACTTCAACCGCGCAACGCCGCACCCACCCGACCGGCTGCTGGTGCTTCCTGCCTGCAGAAGTGGGGCCATCTTCGCTCTCGGCTGGGGTCCTTGGGGAAGCTTGGGGACCTGTTCTAGCGATTCCATTGGTGGGCTCCTTCCCAGCCACTCCGCTGTCAGTCGCCGCAGAATCAATGGCGTCACGATGACGGTCACGTGGTCCCTCTTAGTCAGGTACCTGCCCAATGCGGCACATGGTCGGCTGCCCTTCCGGAGGCCCACGCGGGGATTCCCCCCGGACATGAGGGCCTACCCGGACACTTCAATTCAGTCCCGCTCAAGGTTCGGCCCGGAGATTTCGGATCTAGACTTGATTGTGTCTCCAAGTTGACCACATCATAGTCTCTTGGCCTCCTAGATACCTACCGCATTCTTGTGTCAGAAGTATTCCTGGTTGAGAATACCTTATAACCAATATTGTCAACATCTTCATTATCAATAATCGAAATCTCAACCGCACGTCCATGAAATCGTCCAAACAAGTATGTTGAGGGCCTATCTTAAATGTGAACTCTCATAAGCTTGGCTCATATCGGGAATTTCTCGAAAAGACACTCTTAGCAGAGACTCTCGTCAACACTATCTAAGAAATTTGGTCGGCAGTGTAAATCTTTATCCGACGACCTGACCAAGCTTACAGTCGGACAGGCCGTGATGGGTTTCGAGATTCGTTTATTCTTGTAGCAGGCTTCTGCTTAGACCTTCAGTGAGCCTACTCTGGTTAAACATTCTCTTGAAATGCATTGCCTTCAGATACATCGCCCCAACGGACTTTTGTCACTTGCTGTCGAGCCATGCCATGCACTTCCATATTCCGGGTGGAACACATAACCTCCGATAGGGGAAGAGGAGTACTAGCGTTTGGATAAGGCATGCGTGTTACGACTGCGATGGAAAAAAGACAGAATATCTGAATAAGAGGAGGCACTAGAAGCCATTCTTAGAAGGTCGAAGAGCCTACATGGTTGAGTTGTGCCTAAATCCAGACCTTGTGGCATTCACAGCCCTATTTATATCAAGTAGTAGAGATTTTCGACATCGGATTTCCAGTAAAAACACATAAAATCTCTCAAAACAATTCTAGTGCTCGTAGCAGCAGCATCGGCAGCATCACTCATCCTCCCCCTTCCCCTCCCACCCCAAAATCTTTGGTCCAAAATTATACCATCCATACATCTCCACGCTCGCAATCACACAAAACCCCGTGATCAACCAAAACCGCGCCCGAGGACTAGAAGAGATGTGTCGAAGATTGAATGCCGGGATCTCAAGCGGATCTTCTCCTCCTGCTTTGTTGCCGTTGATGTTGGCGTTGGTGTTGCCGTTCTTGCTCTGCGCAGTGCCGCCGGCGGTGCGGTACGGCGATGTGGAGAAGGCTGCGCGCTGGAGCGGTCGGCCCCGGAGACCTGCAGGAAGGACGAGAGTCCTTGTTGCGATACGCCCTGTTGCCGCGGACATTGCTCTTGGCTTATGTCGGTTTCTTGAGAGACTCAATTCTGAAGGAAATGGGAATATCGTCTTGTCGTTGAAAGAACGCTACTTTTGTGTTTGAATCATAGCAACTTTCAGACAGCTTCGTTAGCCACATTGCGCTGTTCTTTTGGCGACTTATATCCTCCGTCCGCCGTTGTTTACGACCCGAGCGTCTGCCATATTTACGAAGGATGCGCTGGAGTCATCGTAAAACGACATGCCTAAGCGTGAAGGTGGCACACCCCAGCCGACCGCACCCGGGAAAAGTGGAGACGTGTCCGTCAGCTCGGAGGAATAATGTCCTGTCTTCTGTCGCGGGGACTTTGGTTTTCCCTTTTGGGCTTGTATTGAGCCTATCACTTTTGCCCAATGCCTGAGCTAAGGACTTATGCAACCAAAATGTTCAATGTACATATATATAGTTCTTCTTTCATTATGCTACAAGGTATGCCCGGCCAACACCTGAGCAACGCCGTGCCCACAGTAAACGCCGCAACAAAGTCCAAGCAAGACGTCAAACCTTCATGATCTATTAATCGTCAGCGGCTTGAAGGGCTTCCTCAGCCGGTCTATCGGTGCAAGGCCTCCTTCCTTCTTCAACGCCGCTGGCCGCTTGAACCCCCCAAAGCCGTTCGTAGTCGTCGTCGTGTGTAAGCAGCTCGCCGGCCGTTCCCGGACCGGCCGTGGCTCGTTCATGTCTTGGTTCTCCTTTTCAGGGGACTTTGCTCGAGGCGGGGAGCTCGAGAAGTTTGTATAGTGTTTCTTTGGCCCCGCGGTGCCCTCGAAAGCTGGTCTTACTGGTTTAGCGGGCATTCTCCCCTGTCCGAGTCGGTGAACGCTGAGGCCTGGCTCAATGGCATTCACAGGGCGCTGCGCTTGGTGCAAGTTTGGCAATTCTGGAAGCTCTTGAGCAACCGATCGTGGCTCTGGAGCTGCTGGACGATGTGTTGAGGGATAGGATGTATCTGATAAATCGGATCTGGTCCTCTTGACGAATCCCAGAAGGCTTCGCTGATCAGCCGGCCGCTTCGACGTTCCCTTTCTGGGCGTGGCGGACTTTTGAGGACCAGAGTCGTTCTGCTGAGCGGACGCGGCCATCTCCCTCGCAGCAGCTAGCATCTCCCGTGCCGCGCTTGCAGTCGTGAAGCCCGGCAGAGTGAAGTTGGAAGCACTGTCCATTGTTGTAGATGTGTGCCAGGTGGGCACCGGCTGGCAATCACCCTCTTCTGATGCTGAAGTTGCCTGTGCCCGGGGGCGTCTTTGGGCCCAGGGCATGTTTCTCCCACCCGCACCTCTCTCTCCAAAGGAGTCTTCCGGATTTTCGGGCCACAAGTTGTCCTCAGGCCGTTCCCTGGGCGGCAGTTCCTTGTACACCTTGTCTTGCGTTGGCACGACTTTCTCCCTTCCAAGAATGCGCCCCATCTCCTGAAGGATCCCAGCCTCAAAGGACGGACCGGCTTTCCTAAAATACGGATGAATCTCTGATGGGATAAAAGGCGATAGCTCGGTACGCTCGCCACCGTTTCCTCCATTCTGCGAGCTGTACATTGGGCAACTGAGGTAGAGGAGTGTCTGCGCACGTGTCATGGCCACATAGAGTAGCCGACGTTCCTCGTCGAGATCCTCAGACCTCGAGTGTGGTATGGATCCATTGTACACTGCTGGTACAAAGACAATGGGCCATTCAAGACCCTTGGCTGCGTGAATAGTTGAGATAGTTACAGTCGGCTTATTCTCCGCATCTCCCTTTTGCTGCGCGTCCGACGCCAAGGAGACGTTTGCCAAGAAACGGCCCAAGGCGTCATTTTCTTGCACCTGCTGGACTCCATCGATCACTGGAAGACGATCCTCCTCAGCTGTGGCGCTCAAATCTCGCATGAAATCGCCCGCCAGACTGATGAATTCCTGGACGTTGGCCCAGCGCGTCTCGTGCTCTTCGGGGTAGTTCTCCTGAAGGTACTTCTGAAAGTTGAGTTGTGAAAGCAGATTCTGGATGAGGTCGACCAAGTGGTAGTATGGACTCCCGGTTGGAGGCTCTTCGATCTTCCTTCTGATCCCAGAAATCAGTCGGAGAAGCTCTGCGCTAATCTTCTGCTCCATTGCCTTTTTGATATTCGTCTTTGCCTGGCGCTCTCCCCGGCAATGCTTGTTTAGCAAAACCCAAACACTGAGCTTAGAGCTCTCGGCTTCCTCAAGAAGGGACTTAATGGTTGTGTCTCCAACGCCGCGGCGGGGCACGTTGATGATGCGGGCCACTGCATCGTTGTTGTCCGGTTGGTGAATGACGCGCAGGTAGTCAAGAATCACCTTAACCTCAGCGCGGTCATAGAATTTGAAACCGCCAACCATTTTGTACGCAATGCCTGCTTTTCCTAGAGAAGATTCGACGTGCCTGGAAAGCGATGCCGATCGTAGGAGAATGGCTACATCGTCGTAGGTCAGCATCTTGCCGGCCATCAGCAAGGCTCTCTTGATTTCAGACACAATCCATTCGGCCTCCACAGCTGAAGACTTTAGTCTTCGGAGAACTGGTCGTGTGCCTTTGTTGTGGATAGGTAACAGGACTTTTTGGTACCGCTTCTTGTCTTGCTGAATAACCTTCAGGGAGACATCCAGGATCGCTTGCGACGAACGGTAGTTTTCCTCTAGGGAGATCTCGTCCGCTTTGGGATAGTCCTTTAGCAGACGGTACAAGTTCTTGATCTCAGCGGAACGCCACCCGTAGATGCTCTGGTCCGGATCTCCCACAATGGTGATTCGTTCTCGTGCCTGGGCAAAGAGCCTCATGAGTTCGTACTGAATGCCATTGGTGTCTTGGTACTCGTCAATGAGCACAGCCTGGACGTTGGCAACGCAAGAAGGGTGCTTCCGAAGTAGCTCCACGCATTTGGTCAACAAATCGTCGTAATCCAGCAGATTCGACCGTTCGAGGTGACTTTGATACTCTCGAAAGCATGTTTCCAAGTCGCGGTTTTCGGGTACTGGTTTGCCGTTCCGTTTTACTGGTGCCTGATTGTCACCTCTAGCCTTCTTCCTGCTGATCCATGATCTTGCAGCAGGAGGATCGACTGATAGCTGTAATCGTTTGCAAATCCTCTGGATGACAGCCCTCGAGTCTCCATCGTCGGCAATGGCGAACTTTTCATCAAGCCCTATACGCTTGCCATAGGCAGCCAGATAGCGGCGAGCAATACTGTGAAATGTGCCGAGAACAATCTTCCTTCCACGGTCATCTCCAAGGGCCTTGCAGATGCGCTCCTTCATCTCCCGTGCGGATTTGACCGTGAAAGTGGCGACAATCATGTCAGTGGGCGCGTACCCAACATGGTCCACAAGCCAAACAACACGAGATGTCAAGGTGTGCGTCTTGCCACTTCCAGGGCCAGCCAGGATGGCGACGGTGGCATTTTTGGACGTTACGGCGCGACATTGTGCTGGATTCAACGTCGCAAGGATGGATTCGGCCGGGCCTGGGGCCGAACTGGACGAGTTCATTGTTGTAAGGCGATCATTGGCGGGGAAGGGAAGTGAATTGCAAAGATTGGTATACAGAATGCTGTCCAACAGTGGATGCTCCGCTCGATTAACGCCTCCCGATGAAGAGGGTCGCGTCTCAAGGCTCAGTTGACGCGTCTAGCTGTTCCTTGACCGTGGCACCAGCACCCAAGTCAACATCGCGGTACCTGGGTACCCAGCACGACATCAGGTGACCGCTCACGTGGAAGGAGGCCCCTGCCAAGAATGCCTCGCCACGCACGTGCATCCGCAGATCCGCAAACCTCCGCGACCCACCTGCAGCTCGTACTGAGGCAGCAGGGGAACGCTCCCATACCGGACCGCTAAACTCTCGTCGATGGCTTCTTTGTTTTTGCGACTCAACTCACGAATTCAAAGTCACCCACTGAGACATGAACCACAAATCCCACCCAGCCACTAGGTGACCCGACGATTCAGTTTGGCTTCTTCCGTTGCTTCGAGGCTTCTCAAACGCTCAGGCAAAAGAAGCCCTATTGCGGCAATCATCGACAGGTTTCAATAGGTAGGTAGGCGGTGCAGTCACACTGCTCTCCGATCCGGATGCATTCGCCGATGGTTTTGTCGGTTGAGCTCCGCGGGTTGAACACCACAGCCTCCTTTCTTCAGAGTCTATCCCAAAACCATTATGCGTGGCGCTGATTCGACAAGCTGGCTCTTGTTTCTTCGATCAAGAGTCCCATCCCGCCGTTTCCATCACACCCAGAGGTGCCAGACCGGCAACGACCGGCTGGAAGGGTGTAAGGAACCACGGAACGCTCCATTGGGCAAAGCGAATAAGCATCGCTCGGACAAAGTCTGTTTTCTTCATTGTTGCTTTGATGACTCGCGAAGGGTTGTTCGCTACCCGCCGAAAGCGAACGGGCATCCACCCGTGCTCGCCCAAGGTTTTCCCCTCCGTCGTGGATGAGAAACAGGAGCAACTCAACTTAACGGTTCGAACGGGCAGAAACAAAGTCAACGTTCCATCGGTCGATGTCGCTCGATGGCAGAAGAACAGCGTCGGTCCTATCACGGTGATGAAGTTACGATCATCACGCTTTAATGCTGCCCGCAATGTGAAATCACACTTGGGCAGAGATCCCATTCGAGGACGCCTGTGATGCGATGCCCCAGAGGGCAAGGCCAGTGCAATAACGTTGTGCCCTATTGCAGCAGCTCATGCGGTCAGAAAGAGATAGTGATGGGGCCAACGCAGGGATGGCCTTCCCGCTGCCGGGACTTGGGCCTGGAATCGGGGGACTGGATTCGCTTTGCTGTGTCCCCTTGGACAGTCGAGATTGAAGAGACTGAGAGACAGGATGAGAAGCGAGGACGACAGGCGGAACCACCTGAACAGCTGACCTGGGAGCCGCTCCTCTTTTTTCACCACTGTTCACGAAAAACCACGGTGATTCCGACTCTCAGTGGTCAACCATTTTGGGGCCATGGCAGGGCATGGCAGGACATGG